GGTAAAGCATCTTGTAATGGACTGGCTGTTAAGTTACGGGCGTATCCAATGCCCGGCCAGTTGTCATTGATTTTACGAAAATTCTGGTCGACCTTATTATCGAGTTTACCATTCTTTACAAACTTTGTTCGCATAGTAGGACATGCGTTAGCCTAACGGTGCAAATACTTATTATAATCATTAACTTTTACAATTAAAATTTATTATTAACTCATACCTCATGAGTGACTGTGGTATCGGTGAAGAACTTAACTGTTCCCCATTGAGCCGATTCTATGTATTTTATAATTGAATAAATTTAATTAAATTTAATTTCAGTAAAGTTTTAAATAACTTTTTTATATTACCGTTATTTTCCTCAAAAGGTTTCTGATTCTTGAGTCTCATATCACCAGTAATTATGGTTTTATTGACTTTTATTTCCTTCATATCCCAAACCACCTCTTCATTGGAGTCACCGGAAGTCCATTCGCCAGTTATATCGAGATAAACCTCAACCTCATGAGTGGCCGAATCCAGAGACCAGGCGCTCACCGATATATAAGAGGCCGGGAGTGACAGTCGCTTGAGATCTGTCGGGTCGATGGGTGTGAAGAAATTGACTGCCAGTGCGATGGGGCCGGCATTGAACGTGAATATAGACTGAGTGGGAGTCACCCTAAGGGACACCTGTTTGGCCTGCAATTTAGTACCAATATCTTCCTGAGTCGGGTGACCCATAAACTCGTAGGTCTGTCCGTTCACTCTCACCAAACCGGCCATACCTTTAATGTTTCCGTTCCAGAATCGGGGCCAATCACCCATCAACTGGGGACTGGTCATCCATGTGGACAGGTATGGACTTTTAACCACTAGTGGTACGGCTGGTAATACATCTGTTAAGGAATTCAATATACATTTAGGATTTATATTAAATAAATAAGTTTAATGTTTGTTAAAATGATTGCTTTATTCATACCGTTGTCAACAGCACTGCAACTCTTGTCGCCAATGAATACACAAATGAAAACAATTAGTGAGTGTTTTAACGATAGTTTGAAATTCATTTTATATATAATTATCAGGGTCAAAATGAAACTACAATTAAAAGTATAATATTTTATTCCTTATATACAAAACATTTAACTTTTACATTAAATTTTGTTCATAATATTCACACAGTTATACATTACTGAATCTAGATTATATACGGATATAAACTTAACCAGATGCTGTTCTCTTTAATAATATTGTATAAGCAATTAAATACACTTATCTTATGAGATCATTTTAACCCTGATTAATTGTATTTATTTCACATTATAAAGTACTCTGTTACAATTACAATTTTTGAAGAAACGTAGTAACAAACTCTTTGCACTCAATTCTGCACTAAATTCTTATCAAGTACATATTAGGAGGAAAGGTACACTATACTTTCAGAATTTATTCCTTAAATTGGTTTGGAGTCAAATTGTTACTAGGATAATCATACATTCTATAGTTATTTAATCTAGACTCTGTCACAACATTTAAGTTATTGATCATGATGTGAATTATGCCAGATGATATTGGAAATTTTTTACAAAAATCTTATTTTTTATGCGATTATTTTTTAGACAAATTAAAAATTGATTTATATAAGTTATGAACATTAATCCATATCTCAAAACAGTATTAAAATCCTTATTCGTCCATTTATATTTGGGTTACATTTTGAACAACCCTTTGTATCCCTTATTTTGAAATCTATGTAAATTATTCATAACACACAATCAAATTTAGCTTTTAATTAAATATAGTATAATTATTCTATAACATAATTATATAATTATTATTCTATATTAGTGCAAACAAATGATTTTTTAATTCATGTAAACCATATATTAGTGTTTAATAGTCAACGGCGCGAATACACCCCCAATAACAGGACGATTCTTAAATCCTCGGGAACCACCAGTTTGTGTGTCAACCCAGTCCGAGAAGGGCACGTGGTCTGGCGTTTCCCGAAGCCATTGGGCAGTCCTATCAAACATAGACTGTCGGAGTTTGGCGTTAGTGGAGGCGGCGGCCGTAAACATAACCCAATCAAACTTTGTATGAGGTGTACCACTCTCTAAGGGTAGGCCATAATAATTTTGCATCGATAGGTACCACTCGTCCTGTTGTTTGTATATCTATTCATATACACAAAAAGTGAATAAATTATCACCATTATAATTACTTTTAAATAAATCCAACCGATTCGGGAACCAATTTGGTGTCCAAAATGACGTCCGCATAGAGATTATAGATCATAAACCAGGTGTTGTTGTCATTATAACTGAGTTTCATGTGTTTATTAGAGGGGTCTTCTCCCATACGAATCCATTCCGTCACATATTTCTCAGCGATTTGTCTATACTTTTGTTGGTCGTCGTGATTGCCGACCACTTCCGCCAACTGAGCCATAGCTCCGATGCCTATAATGGCTTTCAGTGAGAGGTTTGTCGAGTTCTTGATTGTTCCCAAAAAGTCATCAGTGGTTAGAGCGTCGCCTAAAATAATTAAATTTTTAAGATTAACAATAAATCCTATGATTACAGGTTATAATAATGATAATACCGGTGATCAACCCGTTATCCACCAAATACTGTGTCCACTGTTCTGCGATGTTATAGTGTTTTTGAGCAAATTGTTTATCATTAGTGGCCCTGACATAGGCTGACATCATGATCACCATATTGGCGCTCTCCTCCACCTCCATGTCCTCCTGTTTGCCATCTGTGTGTCCAATACAACGGGGATAATGAGTCCCCAAATCATGGATACAATACTTCTTGGGGAAGAACCCTCTCTCCTGATTGTCGAGCAATGGCTCCATAAGGAGTCGCAGTAGAGTTGGGTTCAGATATAACTGAACGGGAAAGTGAGGGTAAATCACATCCACTGTCTGACAGTTGCCATTGGATGAGATCTCCTTCAACATCATCCATGGCTTGGCAGCTGTGCCCACCATTTCAGTGCCGCCATAAGCCTATCATAAAGTTATTTAAAAAACGTATTGTTTTAATGATTACTTTTTCATTGAAAGGTATGATTTGATAATCTAATATCTAATCATTAATTGTTCAAAATTAAGGTTCCCCTAAANACTTAGGCAGGTATGTATGGCTTAAACATTTATTAGATAGTATGTATGAGAAATATTGCAACTGTTAATTCAATCTGAACAGGAATTACATGTAGTTTAGGATCAGGTAATCGTTTAATTGAAAATTTTTTTTATACAGTATATACTTTATTTTGTAAAGTTTTTATATTAAAAATATAAATAGCCATTCTATAACTACGAATATAATATATTAGTTTGTAAATATATGACAGGCTTATGGTGGTGTTGAAATGGTGGGCACAAAGGATAAGCCATGGATGATGATGAAGGAGATATCATCGGATGGCAACTGTCAAACAGTGGATGTCATTTTCCCTTCAATTCCCGTCCAATTATACTTGAATCCAATGCTTTTGAAGTACATTTTGGACCCATTGCTGGACAATCAGGAGAGAGGGTTGTTTCCCAAGAAGTATTGTATACATGATTTGGGGACTCATTATCCCCGTTGTATTGGACACACAGATGGCAAACAGGAGGACATGGAGGTGGAGGAGAGCGCCAATATGGTGATCATGATGTCTGCCTATGTCAGGGCCACTAATGATAAACAATTTGCTGAAAACCATTACACAATTGCTAAACAATGGACACAATATTTAGTGGATAACGGGTTGATCACCGGTACTATTCAATATAATAAGACCAATTAATATAACATAACTACTATTCTATTATTTTAGGCGATGCTCTAACCACTGATGACTTTTTAGGAAGAACTAAAAACTCGACAAACCTTTCGGCGAAAGCTATTATAGGCATCGGAGCTATGGCTCAGTTGGCGGAAGTGGTCGGCAATCATGACGACCAACAAAAGTATAGACAAATCGCTGAGAAATATGTGACGGAATGGATTCGTATGGGAGAAGACCCCTCTAATAAACACATGAAACTCAGTTATAATGACAACAACACCTGGTTTTTAATGTATAATTTCTATGCGGATGTGCTTTTGGGCACTAAATTGATCCCAGAATCGGTTGGATACTTGTTTTACATTGTTTTTAATTCATTTTATTGCAATTTTTATTTATTAATAGATATACAAACAACAGGACGAGTGGTACCTAACTGTGCAGAATAAATACGGCGTTCCCTTAATGAGTGGTAAACCTAATACTCTGTATGACTGGGTTTTCATTACAGCCGCCGCCTCTACTAACGCCAAACTCCGACAGTCTATGTTTGATAGGACTGCCCAATGGCTTAGGGAAACCTCAGTCCACGTGCCCTTTTCCGACTGGGTTGACACACAAACTGGTGGTTCCCCAGGATTTGTCAATAGGCCGGTTATCGGGGGTATATTCGCGCCGTTGACTGTAAAACTTAATTAAAACATTATTTAACTTTGAAAATTATATTATATTTAATATTAAACAATTAATTAAATGTATCTTTTAATATTACTTAAACTAATACACCTTAAGTATGATTATGCTTTATAAATACTATAATTAATTGTTAATTTCAATTGATTGCAAAAAATGATTTATGATTAAAGTACATTCATGTACGGTACAATGTTTTGATAAATAGATACATAACAGTAAGATAAATTATTTTACTTATACTGTGTTAATAAAGTTTTACTTTTAGCAATTTGATTAAATAACTCTATTAGTATAAATAAAGTATCGTTGATCAATCAAAATAAATGAATTAAGTTTTTTGCAATAGCATATTTTGTTCTATAAAATAACATTGAAAGTTTCTATTTGAAACTGTAACGACTAATTTGCCACAATCATTTTAAACACTATAGTGTACTTTAAAGCTGTAGTACAGAAGTGTCCAGGTGGTAAGAGTGAGCATTATTACAATACTTGAATCATTTTATTAAAAACTAAACATAAATAGGCATTGTTCACATATTACGTTCGCACTTTTTGAAAAAATCTTGACCCCCTCCCCCCCTCTCGTTCGCAAAAGTTCGCTTTGGCCGACCCCCTCCCCTTCCCCCAAGTGCGAACGTAATATGTGAACAATGCCATACCATAACACATGATGAGTAGGGATTATTAATAATTAATAGTAATTAGTAATTATTACTAATAATGTAAGGGATAATAAAAATTGTACAATAATATAACATTAATTAGGATTGATTCTAAAATATTTAACTGTAAAAAACATCAATAAATGTCTGGACACATCTGCTGTAGTAGTTTTAATAGAAAATATATAAAATATTTATTGAAAATAGATAACAAGTAGAGATTTTGTTTTTGCTAAAAATTTTCCAAAAGCATCTGGCATGATTCACATCCTTATAATTATGAATTACTTAATTGTGTTTAGTGCAGTATATAAGATATGAGTTTTTATTATTTATTCACACATTATTTTCATAGTTATTATTACAAACTAGTCAGTAGTTAATTATTACAAACTGGGAATTAATAATGATTTGTAAACTTTCATTAATTGTTTTCATTTGTGTATTCATTGGCGACAAGAGTTGCAGTGCTGTTGACAACGGTATGAATAAAGCAATCATTTTAACAAACATTAAACTTATTTATTTAATATAAATCCTAAATGTATATTGAATTCCTTAACAGATGTGTTACCATCAGTTCCCCTTGTGGTCAAAAGTCCATACCTGTCCACATGGATGACCAGTCGCCAATTGATGGGCGATTGGCCCCGATTCTGGAACGGAAACATTAAAGGTATGGCCGGTTTGGTGAGAGTGAACGGACAGACCTACGAGTTTATGGGTCACCCGACTGGAGAAGATATCGGTACTAAATTGCAGGCCAAACAGGTGTCCCTTAAGGTGACTCCCACTCAGTCTATATTCACGTTCAATGCCGGCCCCATCGCACTGGCAGTCAATTTCTTCACACCCATAGACCCGACAGATCTCAAGCGACTGTCACTCCCGGCCTCTTATATATCTGTGAGCGCCTGGTCTCTGGATTCGGCAACTCATGAGATTGAGGTATATCTCGATATATCTGCCGAATGGACGTCCGGTGACTCCAATGAAGAGGTGGTTTGGGATATGAAGGAAATCATAGGAAATAAAACCATAATTACTGGTGATATGAGACTCAAGAATCAAAAGATATTTACTGAAAATAGGGGTAAGTCTCGGAAATATCTATCAAAACAATATTAATTGAATGATTGCAACATCAGAATCGGCTCAATGGGGAACTGTTAAGTTCTTCACCGATTCCACTGTCACTCATGAGGTATGAGTTACTTATCATTTAAGTTTATGATAAACCCTAACATATACTGTATATGCACCGGTACTGTAGGCTAATTCATGCTTTACAATGAGGTCGAAATTTGTAAAGAATGGCAAACTCGACAATACAGTTGACCAGAAATTCCGCAAAATTAGTGACAACTGGCCAGGTATTGGATATGCTCGGGCTATGACTGCCAGCCCCTTAAAAAATGCATCACCAAAAGTTGAGTACTATGGCATCGCACACGTCAGGCGCCCCGCAATTGAATACACGGACTCCCAGTTGAATCAACTCTGGGAAAGCTATTTCAGTGGCGATGACAATAAAATGGTGGACTTTGTATATGAGGACA